GAAGACACCTGTCTGTTTTAAACTTTCAACATTAGGTTCTCATTGATCTTTCTGCTGGAAAAGTGGGATTTCAACTTGTCAAAGTAAAATTTAAGAGTCTTAGGTGTCCATGACTCCAAATCTTCATCCAATAGATTTGATCCCAAAAACAAAGCACAGATGACTGAACTGTAATTTATTTATTAATAAACTCAAAAGCAGCTCATCTTCATAAGATCAGTGCACTATATCAGCAGTTTAATTAGTCTGATCATTTGTTGCAGTGAAGGAAAAACACCAAGCAAATTCTTTAATTAAAGAAAACCACATTTTTTATTGTTCTGAAATAATTCAGGAAAATAATATCAGTCAGTGCTAATTAAGGACTGAAAACAATAAAGAAATTATTTCTAATATAATGTGACTTAAAACATCCAGAGCTGCCTGTTAAAGCCTCTTCCTCTCCATGTGCAGATGTTACAGCAGACAGAAAGATGCTGTTATTATGATCWCTCTGATAAAAAGATGCTAATTAATCAAGCAGCGTGTTTGTGTCAGTATAAGAAGCTGAAAATGATGATCAAAGTGTTCCTCTGCTATTAATTTCAGTCATTTCCCCTCGATATCAGCAGTGTGGCTTTCAGTTGATCAGAGATGATTCTCTGCATCCTGCTGCTACTCATCCAGCAGAAGCTTTTAGTTTGTGTGAACTATTCATGCTTTTTATGTTTCTGTCTCACTTTGTGACTTCTCACTTCATTTTTTTTACTTGGAAAGCATACATACAGTAAATGCACAGCCTGGTCCAATTAGGCTGCGTGTCCCAGTGGGCCCAGTCTGTCTGGGGACAGTGGATGGCATCTGTGGTTTTTCTTTGATTAAGGCCCGTCAGAACTGCCGAGTGTCAGAGAGCCTCCAGAAAACCCATGCTCACACATCACTCCTGTTTTATTGGCAGGTAGTATCTCATTCTCACTAAACGCAAAATGAGAGTAAATAGAAAAAAATAGGTAATCATGTTACATCTAAAACGTTAATTCAGTCAGTTTTACAGATATGGTGATGAAGTTTGAGATACTGTAAGATAAGATAAGATAAGATAAGATAAGATAAGATAAGATAAGATAAGATAAGATAAAACTTTATTGATCCCACCATGGGGAAATTTGCACATTACTGCATCTCAATACAGGAGAGGGTGAGAAGAATAAAGGAAGATAAATAAAAGAAAAAAACACAATATGCACATGTGATATATACCAATRCACATATACACATATACATAAACGCATATGCATATACTGTATATTTATTTACACCCTATAGTACAATACAAAAWTGAATGTACATGAATATATATTGAATGTATTGAAGATAAATTGAATTGAATATGTTGAATGTATATTGGATATTGAATYCATGTATAATGTTGGTGCAGTTTAATTCCAAGAGGTCAAATTTTCAGTGAATCATTGGGATAGCAAACAAACTAATTAACTGAAATGTTTAAAATTTTACTGCAGCCAAACTAAAAAGGCCATTTTGGGTGAAAAATTGTACGAGGACAGCTCCTGAGGCTGATTTATCACATGGGACCCACTTCATGTTTCTGCAGTTTTAAACCTCAGACCAACTGGAGAAAACACTCGTGGTCTTTAAATTATGAGCAAAAGCCATAAATTATTTCAACACGCAGCGAGCATCTTTAACTTGTTAACTCTAGGGTCCTTTAGGGTCATCAAAGCTAACACGATAATTAGATCTCAATGCATCTGAGACCTAATCRCTGTGTTTTTAATAAACTGCTGTGTACACGAGCTTTATGTGTGAGCCCCACTCAATTTAAGACGGTGAATAAATATGCTCCATCCTAACCCACAACTGAATCAAATTACAGTATATGAAACGAAGAAGGGCTAAAATGATGCAAGAAGCAAAAAAGCAATAAAGCACAATTACAGGCCAGAAATAAAAATAGCATATCTGGTTCATTTATAATCAAAGTGAGCCTTCAAATAGATTTTGATCATGTTGAGTTTTGGTGATGTTTTATTGTGGAAGGGCAGGCTGGTCCAGAGTTTAGAGCAGTGGTGCCTAATCCTGGTCCTTGAGAGCCACTTTAAAACTCTTCAAGCTCTGCAAAGGCCTGTTGATCCCTTGTTCACTCAAATCAGGTGTTTCAAATAGAAATGGGATAAATGACTCTTTGAAGAGATCTGGATCTTGAGGAGCTGTTTGTGTCATGGAGCCATTCGAAAGAGACCTTCGATTTTGAATTAGTTCCTTCATCACATCGCYGTACATGATGACGTTGTCATGTTACGTGGGTGGGACCATGTGTTATGTCAAGCAGAAACCCCCTCCCCCTTTCCTCTTGATCTTCTGTACTCCACTATTCTGCTTGTTTTTCGTGAAARAGTAAAGCAGGAAAGATTTAACGATGAAAAAATAAATGATTATTTGAGGAAGAATTTGGAAATTTGGAATTTGGTTGTTTTCTTCAGGCAGTCCTCTTCATAAATTTCACTGGAACGGCACCAAACAAAAGTTCCAGCATCATTGCCTTGTCCAATGCAGATTCTTGACTCATCACTGAAGATAACTTCCATCCAGTCATCTACAGTCCATGATTGCCTCTMCTTAGCCCATTGCAGTCTTGTTCTTTTTTGTTTAGGTGTCAATGATGGTTTTCTTTTAGCTTTCCTGTATTGAAATCCCATTTCCTTTAGACCATTTCTTACAGTTCAGTCACATACATTGGCTCCAGCTTCCTCCCATTTATGCCTCATCTGTTTAGTTGTACTTTTTCGGTTTTCAAGACAAATGGCCTTAAATTGTTTGTCTTGATGCTTTGATGTCTTTCTTGGTCTACCAGTACGCTTGGCTTTAACAACCATTCCATGCTGTTTGTATTTGGTCCATATCTTGGATACAGCTGACTGTGAACAGCCCACATCTTTAACAACCATGTGTGAAGAGTTACCTTCTTCAAGAAGTTTCACAATCCTCTCTTTTTTTCAAGAGACATTTCTCTTGTTGGAACCATGGTTCTTGCCACTCCACTTCGTCTAACAGCCCTCCAAGGTGTCATGACTGCAGGTGTTTTTAACTGCAGACTAAAGAGCAGATCTAATCTGAGCCAGGTGTCCATTTAGGGAGAGGAAATTGACTGGGTTTGTTGGGGGACATTGAGCCCCGCCTGCATTCACTACATACACATGACACGACACGTAAGAACCACAGCATCCAAACCAATTTGTCAGGTGATGGGGCACATGACCCTCTATGAACAATAGAGCTAATCAAGCCTATTGCTAAGTGATGGCCCTCTTTTGCATGTGACTAACCTGTTTGTCCACCATGTGGAGGCAGTGCTTATAAGGCTGAGTTCACCTGAAACTCATCAGACTGAAGAAGTCTCTTGGAGGAGAGAAGAAATGTTTCACTAAAGAAGAACCTATCCAAAGGACCTACTTATTTTTTTCTTTTTGACTGGGTGTGTCCTTATTTTCTACCTCCAATTTGAGTGATTCCGTATTTTTTCCCTGTGCTTGGTTAATAAAAGTAAGATTTACTGACTTCCACAATGTTTTCTCTTCATTTCTTTGAGTGTTGCTGAAAGCCAACAAGTTGCACTTTGGAATGACCTTATTATTGTCTCATGTTTTTGATCTGAATTTGTTTTACAGAATGAAATGTCTGAATGGGCGCTCATCCAAGACTGGTGATTCCATTCTTTTTTGCCAGGGGTTGTAATACTTGATCTGAATCCTAATTTTATGTAATTTTTATGAGGAATTTTTCATTGCATTATGAAGAGAAAATCTCAACTAGTATTTTAATATTGAGATTTCCCAGCTGGAAAGAAACAAAAACATTTCTTGCTCACAGGGGAAATCACAAAATTAAAAGGCATTTTTCCTTAAAATCAGTTTTTTTTGTTGCTACTGCTCAAAAAAGTGCTTCAAAAATTTTATGATTATATTTCACACAGTTCATTCAAATGAGACATTGATAAGGCATTTGTTATATTTTGACAAAATGCGATTTTTGTAAGTGCTTTAATCAAAACAGTAGATTTACCAATTTCTCCATATACCACCTTTAGACTTAATCCTCGTTTCGATGTGATGGGTCACAATTATGTTTGAGTTGTACATTGTCCCTTTTTAAATTAAGTTTATATCGTTATCTCTAAAGAGCTTTGAAGTGAGTCGAACTGTTTTTATACACATAAGGTGGGATCCTGATTTTTTATTGTACATTTTTTTAAATTAAAGTTATGCTCAAAGTAAATTCTTAAAGGGGCAGCTGTTTCAAACGGCCTCGCAGGGAAAATCCGCAGACCAACACCTGTGCAACATAATCTGGATCAACTCCWGTGACTCAACCTATGAGCTGATCTCTTGAGCCACTATTGTCACTGGATTACATGAAGCATAGGGAAAAAAAAGGCCAATCTGTCTGCGCTGACAGAGAGRGTCACACTTACTGCTGATAACTGGACTGGACCTACAAATAAAAACAACTCCGAGGACTCAGCCCATTGGAGATTTGAACAACAGAATCTGTATTAATATAAAAACAGGAGTTATGTCTTTATTCAAAACCACAGGAGATGTTTTTTTTTTCTTTCAAATAATTTTATTTCCAAAAAGCAGTCAGTGAAAAGTAAAACAAGACAATTCTGGAAAATAAAGAGGAAAAAAAAAGATAAAGCGTATAAAAACAAAAGGCATGATATATACAACAGCAGACATCGTTTTCATGTTTGAGTACCGATGAATGACTCGACAGACTCACAAAGGAAATGAAAATTAAATAAAAGAAGAGTTTCCTTTAAACGGACAGAGGAGGTTCTAAAAGTCAGCTAAGGCACGTGGAGCCTCTCTGAATAGAAATAAAACAAAAAGGGGGAATAAACATCCGTCAGAGAAATTTGTGCAACAGTTGCTCAACAATACATTCCAGCAAGAACAACAACAATCTGATTTTTCTCTGAGACACGAAGAGGAAAAGGTCACCGTCACAGCTGTCCGAAATACTGAAGCAGGTCGCGTTTTTTCTCACTATTTCACTCTTTTGTCCAGTTTCTGACACTTTATAAAGTCTGAATAATTCACTTTATTTGACCACATCTGTATTTACAGTTCTAAAACAAGAGTTCAATACAAAATACTTATATACATCTTCATTTGTTAATAATTTTGTTACAAAATATGACTTTCACATTTAGTTACATTTACTTTATTCACCCTTTTCCATAAACTGCCATCAAGCTTACATCATAATAAGTAATTTATTCAGAGCAACAACTTTGTCTTTTACAGTTTAACACCAGAAGCAGTGAGGATTTGAAAAAGGAAAGAGAGATAGCAGTAATAACACTCACATCTGACAGAGAGGCAAGGTGAACTTGACATTAATGAACAGTAATGTCTCTTCATTAGCTTGTGCAAAACCACTCGTTTAGCTCGTGTGATGACTAAACAATGTTGACAGTCACAGATTGAAAACCTAATTGGCTTCAGATGATACTTATTTCAAGGTAAAACAAACGTGTGAGCAAACTTCTTGTTTCAGGATTTGCTGCCGGCCCCCAGAATATAATTAACTTGCATCAGACGCCCGGGGATTGTCTGGATGTAAAGAAAGAGATACTTGTAACGGTAACAGAGGAGCCACAGTTCAGTAACGTATTCTTCGTTCTGCAATCGAGAYACAACAGAATATTCACTGGAGTTTGTACATTGTTGTCACAGCATGAATATCACAACCACTGATCGCTCTGAAACTGACAGAAAACACCAAAAAAAGAGCAGTTTCTCCTTCGCAGACGTTGGGTTTACTTGTGAGGAGTGTTTGTGTTCATCTTCTGTTTGGTGAGGTTGTGAGGTAGCTGACCTCCTCACCCCATCATTCGCTTTTTTTTTATTTTTGTTTGACGTCTCGCGGTTCGCTCAGCAAACAGCCGCTGGAGAAACCAGGACAAGAAGGTCTATTCAGACAGGACGACACGGACGAACACACAACAGGTGCGGGCCATAAAAACGTACAGTATAAGTCTGGGGTGTTGGCCTTTGTAAATAAAGGCGGCTTGCTTTTACAAAAAAATATTTATCATGCTGCCAAGGCAGCGTCGCAGTTATTTAGTCACTGACTAAAAATATCCATATAATTATAAACTTAGAAATAAATAACAACTCTCCTCCAACCACTCGCACAACTTTTGAGACGTTTTGTAGAATTATGTACAACGTTTAAGTGTTGCTGAAACGACTTGGAAAAAAAAGAAACAGGACACAAATTTTAAGGTCAGCTTAAGGTAATTTTGTTTCAAGTTTGAGGCAGGTTAATTATATATTTATATTTATAAAAACAAAACTATTTTCTCTTGTCTGCTGCTTGTTACATCTGGGTGTTAATAAAAGAAATCTACTCTATGTWAATGTTAAATCTGAAAAGACTACAGTCCAAATAACTACAAAGGTATTAGGAATCGACACTAAAATGTCTACATGTCATTTCCTTCACCTTTTATCCAATTATCAGAAAAACACCCTTGCCCATCCTTTTCCTTCGCAACTAATTTGACAGCTGCAGACGATCAGCCGAGCCACAGCTGCTCAACATCCTAATCAGGCACTAGTCTGCAGAAACTTGTGATTAATTAAAATTTTAAAAAGCACTGAATTAGTTTCCTAATAACTAAAATTGGCTTTTGGTGCATCTGCCTTTGAGTTGTGACATATTTCTCCTCTGTTTAGTTGTCTCATAATAAACAGACCGTCACATTTTCATGACATGAACCTTAAAGGAGGCACGTTTTCCAGTACCAGACTACCCCCCCCCCACCCCACCCTAACTAAGGCCTTATTGCAGCAGGAGCTGGTCTGCAAGCATCCAAATGGCCACAGTGTCCTGCGCACGGCGTTATGAAATGAAAGAATTCCAGCGCCTGATCACATTAAAACTCCACCATAATCAGAAAAATAAATAAATTGAGAAACTAGAACAACAAAAGTCTGCAAAATTCCTTAAAATAATGAATCTGATGAGGAACACAAATTCATTTCTTTCTGTTAAGACAGCTTTACCAGCGGCTCCTTCTAAAAGTCTCTTTTTTTTCTCATGGGGCAGAGAAGACACTCCCACCCTTCCCCCCCCTCTTGCACGTACGCTCTAAAATAAATAAAGTAAACAGTGCCACAGCCTCCTGTCCAGCTGGAGGCCTCGGTGCTATCTGATGCGGCCGTCGGCCCGCGGCGCTCCCAGTTGGGATTTGGGATCCGGGCTCGTGGAGCTCCACGGGCTTTTGGCGCAGGCCTGCATGACCGGACAGGCGGTGGGCCCGACGGCGCAGACGTCGGCCGCCTCCCACAGCTCGCCCACCAGGCCGTCCACCCAGCGCTCCAGCTCCGGGCCCGTCAGGCCGGCGTTCCTCTTCGATTGCTCCACGTAAGCCAGGCTGACGGGGATGTTGAGGACCGGGTTCAGACCGTGGAAACTCTGCTCCATGTAGCTGTTCTTCAGAGGCCCATTGTGGAGTTTTAAGGTGTCCTCTGGAGACAGAGAAGGAACAGACGGTTAGTGGTCAAACTGGGGGGAGACGGGGAAAACATTAGTCGACACGACAATTCATGAGAAAGTTGATTCAGCAATTACTTAAACGTTCCACGATTAAACCAGCTGGAGAAATTCAAGGTGTGTCCACAGTCTTTACATTCCAGTCAGGCTTTAGAAGGAGGATAATCAAAGACACAACTCCTCCTTAAAACACCTTCTCCACCCTGAGCTCCAGTCAAGCTTTAAATTCCTCACAGCTCTTCTAACTGGGATGCCAGCCATCCTTTTTAAGCACCACCTTGGAGCAAAAAAAAAAAAAAAACCTAGATGTTTGCAGGCATCAGCGTTTCTTCACACGCCGGTGACAGAATGATGCAGTCAGACACCGGGTCCTCCACCGGTCGCAACAACGTACGGCTGGCTTTGTGGTCCCACCGTGGGACATAAAGTCATGCATGTGTTTGCTGTTGCCACATCATAAAGTTTTAACAGCGCTGAGAGTAGGAGGGACACCTGGTGCCAAAAACAGCAGAAAGTTACAGGCGGATAGATGAAACGACTGAAAACATTACAACACACACGCTGCCAAGCATGCCGCAACAATATATACTGTGAAGCACTAGCCTGGCCCTTACCTTCCTACACAGTTCCGCTCAATTCTAGTTTCTCTCCTCTGCTCCGTCTGGGATTTCTCCCATAGACAAGGATTTCTCTGGTAGAATTTAAACCGGGCCAATAAGCGAWCCGAAGGAGGAGTTGTGAAAGACGTCGTCGATTTTCTACGCCGTAGTTTAGCAGTGGCAGCGGAGGAAGTGAATGAAGCCAGTCTGTGTTGACAAGGCTTCCAAATTAAGTTAAATTTGTCTCACAAATGGTGCGTTCCATTTACATCATATTCCAGGAACCGGTAAATGTTAGTGACGTCATTTCCTAAAAAAAAAACATATGAAACTGCATTCCAGTTAGCTGACAGGCGATTGAATTGTTGCCGTAAACCTAGCTACAACACTGCTAATATAAACAATGACAGAAAGAGAACTCTACTACGTATGKCATGCAAATAAACATTGATTCTAATAAGTACAGTACTGTACAGAAAACACTWCTTGTGTGAGTGATTAAAMATGAAGAAAGATAATTAAAGGTAAAAGTTACGGAGTTAACTTTCTAAAGCCAGTAGMCACCATCTTGAAATCAAAAMTGGRGGCAGTTTCATTTCTTCCACTATACAAGTGGAATATTACCACTGGAGTTCCAGTTTAAATCTACCAATGGGAACTGGGAAATCACCACTTCCCAGGACTACTGGAACTTCTTCTTAGCTTAGCTTCCTTCACGGTCGAGCTGGCTCACTTCATGCGTCACGGCCAAACRTTAGCGATTGGGAAAATTAGATCCAATCATTTTAAACTTCAACAGAGTCCACACCTCCAGCAAGAAATCATTTCTCAATAGCAGAGGTTCCAGACCCTCTGTATGAAGCAAAGTGTAGAACAAGGGGCTGGTTTTTTACCAGGCTAGTGAAGCACAAATAACTGCACAAATTACAATTTCACAAAAAATGCAGTGTGAACGCTGAGTGACCACTTTAATAAATGTGCTGAACCTTAACCATTAATAGTAAAAGGCTAGTAAAAAACTGCAATGACAAACGGGTGGTTTAAAGACAAAAGCAGCAGCATGGTAGAAGCTACAAGTAGCAAACAGCTATCTAGCTAAAAGCTAAAAATATCAAAACCCTGGCTAAGAGTAACAAAAGATTTGCCACACAAGCACAGCCAAAAGCTTAAAGCAGCAGAATGGTAGCTAAAAGCTAAAAGTAGTAAAATRTCATCTACACAAATGTTGAATTTACTTAACCGAGTTATGTTTACTGGTTGCACTAGACCGAGTTGAGTTAAAGCAAAATGTGTAAATTGCTTACTCGACTCGGTTTAAGGGGAACAAGTTGACACAACTTGGTKAAGTTAATCCAACACTTCACTTCTTAGAGTGTATAAGATGAAAGAATCGTAGTGGCAGCTAAAAMCTAAAATTAGCATAAGGAAGGAGCTAAAGCAGATTTTAAAGAGAACAATATTTTTGRCACCAAGTGTCCAAGTTCTTAAATCTTGTTCTGTTTCTCTGTGGTAATTATGAAACTACGCTGATTACTTTCTTCTAATAGAACATTTCATATTAAAAAAATAATAATATTACCAAATCATTTGTATCCATAGAAGGCCAGAACCCAGCCCTGACCATGTGTTTGTGATTTATTTGTAACTTATGCTGACGCACAACAGCCCCACTGAGGCTCACATTAGGAACCAAGGCTTTAACTTTATTTGTTTTTTTTCTCCTCATCATTAAAACAGCTCAGGGAGATTATTAAAGCCAGAAAGACGTGATCGCGCTGAAGCTGGCGTCTCGGCTCCCGTGTGACTTTTGAGAGCAAACCGGTTGTTTACGGATTAGAGCACTACAGTCCTGTCCCTCCTCCACGCTGACCGATTGATTTCACTGTGGCGTTGTTTTTAGAGGGCTAAGTGCACTGTTGTTTAACACTCTGTTTAGTATGTATGAGCTGCTCGCTGGGTTATTAGGGGTGACTTGATGACAAATAACCAGGGTCTGCAGAGGCCCAGAGGCTTGATTAGAAAGGGCATCGCTGCAAATGCAAGGCTGCGCTGTGCTTGTGTGGGTCTGCAGACATTTGGAAATCAGCAATCGTTACTTCACGGTCAATAAAGCGCTAGTCTGTGACACTGTTAGTGYCAGTGGAAAATAAAATAATAACCATACGATGCATTTTCTGATAGCTGGATTCCTCATAGTGACGTAATCGTCACTACRGAATCATAAACTCGACTTGTATTAAAAATGTCAACACAGTGACCRCTGTTTTTTTAAACAACAGCACAGCTGTGCAATGAGCTCAGCAAGGCTATTTGTGCAATTAACACAATCAATAATAGTTCTGTGCTAACTAAAAGCTGAAACAAACAGCCAGCCCTGGTTAAAAATAAGGTTAATTGCAACCACAGATGCTGTTTGAATCTATTGCTTACTTTGCCTGATGGGCTGGTGCTTGTTATAAGCCAGAGGGACGATGAGGAAGCGTGTTTCAGCCACAGGGCTCCAGTTATGCAGGATGCGAATGTTCCACACTCCGGGCCGCAGAGGCTGGTTCAGCGGAGGGCGGTAGTGTGTGAACTCAGCGCTGGCGTCGATCAGGATGTCATAGGTCGCAGCGATGACGTTGGTGGGGTCGATCCAAACGACGGTGACGGTGACGTTCGGCCCTTTGTTCCACTTCTGCATGCCCACCGTCTCTTCCATGGGACCCATCAGGCCGCCGATGTTTCTGAACATGCGTTCTTTGGCGTCCCACTCCGTGCCAATCTGACACAGGGGAGAAAAGACAAAGAGAGTGAGTGAGAGAGAAAAGAGAAGAGCAAAAGCAGAAACACAGGACGTTGCTGGCTTTCATCTTTTAAATAGCTTCATGTAGAGCACATATATTTGTTAAAGCTATATTACACTGCAGTTGTTGCAGTGTTCAGTTCTTGCTTTTACATGTAAGTGAATGGGACACACTGCAGACTAAAAAATAAAAATACACTTCAGATTATTGCTTTAGGTGTTAATTTTGTTGACACATAATTGTTTTCTTGCTGCTGTGTTCAAATATGCATATTTAAAGATATATTTAGTATCAATTAGCTATTTGAGGCTTTAAAAACGTATTAAGTTACACTGTGATTGACAAACTGACACCTGGTTAGCAACTTGAAGAGGTTAGTAAGGGAGGTTTTTGCATTAAATTTTCATACCCCACATTCCTCAGGTTYCAAAAACACAAAACAGAGCAAATAATTTGGTTTCAATTTTGGACAGAAAGTCACTTAAACATATTTATTTATGTCAACAGTAGAACACAGCAATCAAGAACATGTAAATAGAGACGCACCATTTAAAAGAGACATCATGCTTTTAAACCTTATTTTTCCACATTTAAATCCATAAGTCGGGGTCTATATAAAGTCCAATGCTTTGGTCTAAATTCCTCCTTATTGTAACTACACAAGCCCCTATTTCCCCTTTTTTGAGGTCAACTTGTTTTGAGGCTGTCTCTTTAAATCCAAAYGAGGMGCTTCACCAGCTTCCAGGTGAATGACTGTTCCATTCCAGTTTGWTAGAGGGTTTTATGGCTATATAAAAGCATTTTATTTACAAATGAATTAAAAGATGTCAACAAGGGAAGACTTGCCCATCCAGCCGTACATGTTCGAGCCAGTCTGACCCAGAGCCAGAAGAGGGTGAAGACCACCAAATTGTAAGTCCAAACGTTGACAGTTCCATAGCAAATAATTTAATGTCATAGTTCAGAAAACGTCATAGAAAATGGAGAAAACTGAACGGATTTAAAAATATGACCCACATAATAAAGGAAAAAATCAATGCAGTACTCAACAAAATGTAGTTAATGGCTAAATAAATTTGGATTTTGCATGATATGTCCGTCATTGATTACAAACCAAAATCAGCTGATTTATTTATTTATTCATTTATTTATTTATTTATTTAGACTGAATTAACCAAAGACTGGAATCTCATAAATGTGATTTTTCTGGACCAAGGATGCACCTCAGCTATATGTATTATTCCTTCTTCTAACAGCTCGTCTTGGGTGGGGAAGTTTTCACTAACATAACAAATGGACCGATTGCATCCCCCAGGTGTGACGATCACATGTTGCCTGTTTGCTCGGCCGAGAGTGGCAGGAACCAATGAACACCAGCATCCACTGAGAGAAATGTTTACCCCTAACAGTCTCCATGCTGGAGAAGATAACAACCTAACATCAGTGAGGAAAGAAAAAAAAATGGCAAAGAAGTGGAAGACACTGAGTACATTCAGACACAGAGATAACAGCTTTTTGACAAGATAAAAAAATGGGAGTCTAGGGAGAAGAGCTTCATAAAAATAGGCTTTCAACGCTTCCATCAAAGACTGRGAAAGCTGCATTCACTGTGACAATTTTAAGATAAATAAAGTGAGTATAAAAACTGAACAGACAGTATCAGTGAGTAAAACATATCTTAGTTGAATTAGAAACATAAAGTGCCTCAGGCTGTGGAACATGAAACTAGCTGACAGCTTGCATGGCAATGGAAGACTGGCTGAGGAACAATCAGGCTCTTCAAGCTTAATACATCTACAGTTTTAGCATTTTAGATATTATATA